ACATTTTTGAGCTTCAAGGTATTAAAAAAAAACTCCAATGGTCTGTATATTTTTCTTTTGACAAAAGTGTGTACCATAATTTAAATAATGTAATTTACAAGTATTTCTTATTTCCCACAAATCTGTCAAAGATGCCATTCTCAAGATACGACAACGAGGGTTAGTCAAAAAGTATTGCTACTACAGTTCCAGTTCATATATGCATGTATTTATCCAAACAATAAATGTTCTATTAATGGATGGCTGCAGGCAAGTTCTCTCAATAATACACTTGACTTAGAGTGACTTCAAAATAATAATAATAAAATATAAAACAAACAATATTGATGTCATGGTTAATATAAAATTTTAACAAAATTAAGTGAACACCTTCCCAAATCATTGAAGTTTTAATAAGTTTATGGGAAAAACTGTCCCACGAAAAACATTTTCTGGATGTATCAAGTGTTTTAAGGAAGGTTAGGAAGACCTCAAAGATGATCCAAGAGAAGGAAGACCATCAACCTTGATGAATTAATAACCAAGTCCAGAAACTGAAGGAAGAAGAACACAGAATTATCACTGATGTGAAAACCACTAAAACTGGGATCTCACATGCTCAGGCATTTTCAATTTTAAGCTAACATCTTGACCTCAGAAAGCTCGATGGAACACCAAGAGTGTTGTGCAAAGATCAGCAAGCTCAAACAACTGATCTTTCCATCAGTTTTTTAAGGAAGATTGAAGCTAACGAAGACAGTTTTATGAAATGAATCATAATCGGGGACAAGTCCTGAATTTACCAAAATGATGCAAAGAGTAAGGTCCCATCAAAATAGTGGCTTCCAAGGGAATCTACTGGATCAGTTAAACTCAAGGCAAAGATGCCAGCTCAGAAGGTTATGGTGCCTGTTTGGGGTGATTCCCAAAGGGTCACCTTACAGATAGATTCTCTCAAACACACACACACACACCCCAGAACCACTACAGGGGCTTATTAGGAAGAAGCTTTAAGAAACCCAAAAACCACTGTGAGAAACAAAGCCAGGAAAGTTGTGACATTACGACCATGCATCTGCTTATTCTTCTTCGGTAGTGAGGGCTGCCCTAGGAGAATTCCCTTGGGAAACCTGACCTCATCCAACCTCCAGCCCTCATCTTGCCCCTTCAGACGTCTTTTTGTTGCTAAAGCTCAACAAATGTTTCAAAGGAACATAATTTGAACCCTTGAGGATGCCCAAGCTGCTGTTTTGACATGATGTAAACCAAAGAGTGTAGAATTCTTCTAGGACCCTTCCAGGTTAGCTGTATACCCTTTCAGAGGTGTGTACAGCTAGATGGAGGATATATAGAGAAAACAATGGCTTTGCATTTTGATTTTTTTTTAAATAAATGTTTCTATAACTTTTTAGCAATACTTTTTACTCACTTTAGTGTTAACCAGGAAAAGAGAAGCCAACTTTCTCTTCTTTGAAACCTGGACAGCAAAATCTAACTGCAGATTTTTTATTTCACAGAAATTTTGTTCAATACTTTATCATAAAAAATTTCAAATATATAGTATACTTGAAAGGATTTTCTAATGAACAACCATATACGTACCATCCAAGATTTTACAATTTTGCTTTATAGCTATTTCCCTCTCTCCATCTATCAACCTATCTTATTTTTAAGATGCATTTGAAAGTGAATTGTAGACTAACAATTCTACTTAATAGATAATTCAACACAAATACAAACAAGAAAATGTCAAATTCTTGCATTTTTGATAATATAAGTCATGACTTATCGTTCTCCAAATCTATTTTTAAAATTTTAAGATTGCTGAAAAAAACAGGAAGTTCGGTTTTTGATGGGACCTTACTCTTTGCTCCATGGAGGGAAATAAAGGTTGGCAAAGAATGCAAACTGCCCTCTATTGTGCAATGTCTCCATCCTTTGAGATGACATTTCCATCTCTTATATAGCTAGGTACAGTCTCTGACACTTCTGGCCAATGGAATGTTAATGCCTTCAAATCTTGTCCTTAAAAGAGACCTGTTATCCTCCAACACCCGCAGGCTGGACTATGGACACCGCCGAGAGAAGTCAGCATTTACCATGATGACAAGGATAATACCCCAAAGGGACAGCAGAACAAGACAGAAGGAACGTAGGTCTGAAGACTACGTTCTGAAGCAGAGTTAGCTGCAAACTCTCAACGTACCCACACTTGTATACAAGCAAGAAAGAAACCTGCTTCATTTAAGACACTGCTGATCTGTCTCTGACACAAAAGCCAGACTAATACTACCCTAAGTGCCTTTTTGAATGCTTTGTGTTTTTATTCCTATTTTTGTACCGCTAAAGTCTACCAGTTCTGTTTACTGAGAGGAGTCTCGATATTTTGATTTGTGTAACTAATCATGAATTTGAAAGCCCTGAGAATCATGGAAATAAATGCTGCCACAATAAAAACAAAACAAACACACAGAAAAACAACAAATGAAAAGAAAGACTATTGATCTGGTTGACACTTGCTATACTTCCAAATAATTTTCTCAATTCTCATCACATTTTCCAGTAAGTCAATCTGCTGTGCTTAAACAAGTACTGGGGCCTCAAATGTCAGCCACAAAAAAACAAGATTAGCTTTAAGCAGTTAAATGGAAGTACGGAAAATAAACAGAAAGTAAAGGAATAGCAATTTGGCCTTTGACCCCAGGTAGGACCTGTGGATCAGTCTGGGCCTCAAGTTCACTGAGACCTTCAAGTAAGGAATGCAGGCAGTTTCATTAGAAATTCAAATAACTGCCTAATAATGAGATCAAATCAAAGCACCGTGTAACTGTGGGAGTGAGCTCAGTGTTGCACTCTCTGCGGCTCTCAGAAGGCTCTGGGAGATGGGGAGTTTCAGTTCATTTGGATGAATACTATCTTTTTCTCCAGCAGAAATCTCCATATAAAAACATCTGCCTTTTCATTTTCTCCAGAAGGTTATCTGCAGCATCCCTCGGCTCCCTGCTGAAATCGTAACAGACCCAATCATGTCCTCTTATTCACAGTAGCAGTTTATAGTAGCAATTCCCCGAAGGAATCTGATATGGCATTAAGACCCAATCAATCCACACTACAGGTCCTTACTTCACGGAGTCGTGCATGGTCTTACACACGTGCAGAAGGGCGTTCAGAATGACGGGGTCCTTGGTGGGCTCGTGATGATGCCTGAGAAACATTTAAAGATAACAGTAAAGCTATGCCCATCGAAAACAATGACACCATGCGTTTCATTTCTTACCTGCACCTCATACTTGAGAGGCAGAGAACAATCTGGTTGGTATTTACAGGGTCCTGTTCACTGGTAATGACCAATGTTCTGGAATTCTCTTATTCTTTAAATAAAAGCTTGCTTTGCTACCCATAGTGTACCTGCTGCTGTCAAGTTGATTCCAACTTACTGCAACATTATAAGACAGACTAGAACTGCCCCACGGGGTTTCCAGAGCTGTCATCCTTACAGAAGCAGACAGCCACACCTTTCTTCTGCGGAGCGACTAGTGGGTTCAAATCGCTGACCTATGGTTCAGAGTCCAGAGCTTCACCACTGTGTCAACATTGCTCCGATGCACATAGCGGGGCTTTTCTTAATTGCAAAGTCCCATAGGATACAGCTGCTGCATCTCTGAAACCAGGCAAAGGGCTAACCTGTTGTCTTGCTATGTTTCTTGTACCTTCTGAAACTGTTCACAACCTACTACCATGTGAAGTGCCAGCAAAGGTATGAATTTGGCTTTTCAAATGATACAAGGACAAACTCTTATAGTACATCTTTATGTAAGCAAAGTGGACATATATGTCCCAAGTATATGGAATTAATATTTTGTCACCATAATACAAGGAAAGCTTAAAACACGTTACTCTCCTCACTCAGTGTTCCAAACTGCAGTTATCTGGATGGCAACTTTGTAAAAGCTGTCTACATTCTTAATGTTCCAAAGAACTCTTTAACTTTTAAAAAAATTAACCTTGACTAAATAATAACATACATGAAATAACAGATTAAATAAATTGTTAT